TTCTGTATCAGGGCGTCACAATATGAGTTTTTCTGTCGAAAAATCGCATTTTTTGACGCAGCATTACGTAACTCTATACTGCATTTGTAATTCCATGTATACGTACGTATACAGGAAAGTAGGCTTGGAGATATCGACGGAGTCCATCGTCTATGGGTTCGATTTACATACTACTTTAATTTCAATAAAAATGCAAACTAAATATTATTACTAATATAACAAAACTAAATTTAAAAAATATCGTACGGTACAAACCAAAGCAGAAAAAAGCCGAAAATCACCCACGCTATCTGGAAACCCAGTCTTTTGTTCGATTTATCGACTTCGATCCTATTTTGATACTCGATTTTGAGTTAGCGTACTGTGATTAGTTCTTACTTTAAGCGTAAGTACAGAAGCTTGCTAGCTCTAAAGTTAACGTCTTACAGGTTATGTTTACGTGATCGCATTGAGAAAAAGTTCGCTTATAGACCAAGTCAATTTTTATGTTAACGCCATGCTTATGTTTGCATTGTGAATGAACCTTAAGGTCCGGAGGCGAATCTTAGGCGCCCTTCTCAAGCATAGACTTTGCGCCCCAGTCAGAATACTTCAACTATGTTTTAAATTTGGAATAAACCAAGCTCCCCAAAGTTATCAGCGAAATGGAAGAACAGATGTGTGAGGCGGTAGTTCACAACTCGCTTACAAGAACATAAACGACGAGAATTACGTGAATATTGTGTTAAAGAATTGGAAAGAAGTCCGAGGCCACTTATGAAAACGGGACAGGAAGAATATCGAACGTTCTTGGGTGAAATAATTTGAAAGGCTAAGAACGCCAATTCAACCCGCTTGACTTCCAGAGGAGCCTCATAAACCAGAGGGCGTCGCAGTATGGGAGGACCTGAAAATAATGATGCCTGTGAAGAATAGAGTAGTGACAAAAACACGATTTTAAGGAACAACAAAACAGTGAAAGTTGAAACTTTCTCATCCACAAGTCATTTACCAGCCAATTAGACAACTTTGTTTACAATAATAGTAAAAACTAGTTAAAAATATTTAGGAGGCCGTCTTATATTCGGGGAAATAAGGTATATTACTGAAACAGTCAAACAATGCTAGATAAAAGAAAAAAGTTAGAATCTGACGGAAGGATCAAATTCTGCATGTCCAAGAGAGTGGTGGTACAACACTTATCTGCAACGATTGTGCCATTGGCACATCCAAGGGGAAGCCATGCCCCCTGCTCACATTTTTGGTAATTTTACTCAATTTATTCAAAGTAATTACCTTATAAATGTCTCATCACATCTAAAACAGTGTTCCTTTTAAATACTTGTATGTAGTTTGTAAATTTCAAGCTAATAATTAAAAAAAAAAAAAATTCAAAAATATTTATGGTGGATCACAACCATAAGTGGTCTTCCCCTCTGAAATACTTACTACTTAATTCACCCCAGATACTAGCTGAAATGGAGCAAAAGTTTCGCACATTTGTATTCGATTGCATCAATGTTTCCGCAGACATCAAAAAAGTAACTTCACTTAGAGTGCATTGCATTAACCTAACACATGCTTCGGCAAGTGTCCCAGAAAGATATTTGACTACATTGGAATTTGAGTTTGAAAATGGTATCTTTTGTCTTGCCGGGACATTTGTACTTCAGATGTGCAAACATATCCATAAACAAATAATTTCATTGCTTTTTGAAATTTTTGAATGAAAATGGTTCTTGTGCCATAGGATTCAGATTACTATGAGCTATTTTTTACAAAAGATTCAAGAAAAATTGGTACCGTGTTTGAGGATTATTATTGTTTTGATTGACTCATAATTACGCGAAAACTATGCATATTTCCAAAAGACAGTAACTTACATGATGCAATTTAAGGATCTACTATTTTAGAATATGTTGCATTTCAAGTAACCAGAATCAATGATGGTGAAGGGCAGGTTGGAAAATATATGAACTTTTACAATTTTCAAAATTTAATGCAATTCTGACTCGACCATCTTTACAAGCGTACGTTACTATATTTGAGTAAAAGCATCGGCACAATTTTTTTTATTTTGAAAATGTTCTTGGTGGTCCATATACAGTTTCCCCAAAAACAAAAGATCTGCTTCAAAATCCTTTGGCTTTGAGTCTGGCCAGCTCAATTGGGGAAAATCATGCATATTGTTTAAGTACAATTATTTTTCATGACTGACGGTTGGGGGTTTTGATCAGGCAAACTTTTTGAAACAAAATACCATTCGTTACTCCAAATACACAAAACTTTAATTTTCTGCCTTAACTCCCTCCACCCCCCAAAGCATTATATACATTATCTTTATACACTAGTATAGCCTATACGAGAAAGTTAAAATGTGTAAAACTATTTTAATTTTATTTCATTGGTAATGTAACCTAACTTCCAAAAATGAATATACTGCGATATTTGACAGACAGTTTCAAGACGGTGTTAGAATTCTGATTCCAAAGTATCTAGCCAACGAATTTTCAAATTGAAACTATAAAAAAATTTAGATACATGATCCTATTTCTGACCTCAAAGCTCTTGTAACATCTGCATCAAACAACATGCCATTAATACCTTCCATAATGCATATAACAAACAGCATTCATAAAGATCATCATCATGAGGGCATTTAGAATTAAGCTCGCATGTATTATGTGGCCTATTTTTTAATTACTAACTTTACATGAGAATATATCAGCCAAAGATCCGAAACTACAGTAAGCAAGAGTAAAACAAAAAATACCTATGTAATCTTAAAGAAAGTGAATAAAAAGTTCAGTTTTTCAATTATATTTCAGGCAACAGAGGAAACAAACCAACCAACCAACAATAATATAAAAATACAAAAAATCTTCTTCCACGAGCAAAATGGTGAAGTAATAATTACAATGGTAAACAATTCTATTGCATCACCTTTCTCATATGACCCATTTTCAACTGAAATCTTTGAATGTTATTATTTTTCTCTGTTTTGTATCCATAATGAATTTCAGCATTAGTTTATCAAATTGTATTCATTTTTTATAAGTTTAAATAATTATAATACTGTTTTTGAGAATTTAATTCTATATAAAAGAAGGAGGACTATGTGCAAAAATAAAATTTGAAAGTTTAAAAAAGACTCAAAATTAACTTTAATGTAACAAATACAGTTCTGCACTGCAGTTTTTGTAACTATAAACATTCTACTGTATTAGAATAATCCATAGATGCCATTAATATTTTGTTACTTTGATTTCTGCCTGGAATCATTTAGGTATGATAGAATAAAATTATTAACAAATTCCTTGCTCAATTCAAGAAATCACACCACACAAAATCTTGAGCAATTCATTTTTTCCCCCCCACCACAACATTCCTCATACCTCCCAACAGCACTGTATTTTGTTGCAGGAAAGACCACCTACAACGTAGAAAGATGTACTAATCACATGTATTTAACTTCTGATCCATATCCAATACAAATAGCCCCAACCAACACAACAAATTCACCCATCTTACCTTTAAAGCCCTGTGGCAAGGAGCACAATTGTCATGAAAAATCCAACATGAAACATATCCAAAATGGTCTCTTAATTGTTGGCTTTTGCTTCCTTTCAAGAATATTTTTTATAGATATCTTCAGTAACCGAGCCTTTGATGAAGTCAAGACGACCAACTCCACGGCTAGAAATGCATCCCCAGAACACCTTGTGGATACTTCACAGTTTGTGTAATGCATTGACAAAAATTCTTCCCCCAATTGCAGCGAACAAACAGTTTTGCATTGGAGCCATGTGAATTAAATTTGGACTCATCTGTAAAGATAACTTCATTCCACGTCTCTGTGCCCATGTCACTTGTACTTTTGCTCACTTGATTTCATCAGTAAAGGCTTCTTTCAGAGATGACAGCCTGGAAGCTCTGCTTCAATGAGTCTACTCTGAACAGAGCTACTAATTACAAAAATATAACATATTTCTTCCTCTTGTTTCAGATCTGTAGAGTTGGCGATCACTAAGTTTTTGAGAATTCTATACTGCTTAGGCTTAGAAGACCCTTTCCTTCCTCCCCCTTTTGCACAAACAACATTTTCATTTTCCCTTCTTTTTGCACCTATAGATAGTTGAGGAATAAGACAAAATACCAACTTTTTTCCCCCTATGGCATTAACTTCACTCCTTTGCTCATCTTGCTTCACACAGGGTTGCCCAGAAATGGATCAACTAGCAGAGATCAGTTGGCACATTCAGTCGTTGACAAATAATTATGAATTCTCTGAGAATATGACAGGAATTCAAAAATAGAATTATAAAAAAAATGACAAATGAACAGCAATTCATTCAGTCTTAAATACAAAAAAGTAAAATGATGAAAGGTGATGCAATAATTTTTTCCACCACTGTGTAGGGTCCTGGTAATAAAATCCTGAATCTACAAATAATACATTTTAAAACATTCATTTCAACCCTAAGAAGGTACCTCTTGAAATCAAGATTTAAAGTAATTCTTGGTTTTACAACAGAGCCCAAAGATGTAAAATGGGTGTAATAGAAATAGCTCAAACATCAGATGAATTGTTCACAGTACTCAAAACATTATAATAAGAGCAACAATTGTTGGCATGAAGTAGAATACTACACTGTTGAAACAGTAATAGGAAGTAATAAATGAGATGCAATGTTAAGACAATGTAATATAATAAAAATTGTCCAGTATTATTTCAAGGCTTACAGTTTGAATGACTTCAAAAACTGATGACACAGTGTCAGGTAAAAACAAAAAACGATGTCATTTGAATCAAGCAATCATCGTGAAAATTGTAGGCGTATCTGTAGAAGGTTTTAATACTCCCCACAAAGGTGAAGAGTCTTATTTACCATAGGATAAACACTTACATAGATAATAATAAAATATTTTGTAAAATATCCAAATAAAGATGGGTTAACAAAACCAAAAATAAAATCTTAAGTGTTGTCATTAATTATATCTCTAAATGTGCATATTATTACCGTTTGATGACTCTTCTTCCTCAACTTCACCATCGTGGTCTATCTCAACTTCAGCCTCAGCAACAGCAAGCTGCTGAAGCATTGTTTGGTGCATAGCTTCGACAGCACGTTCATGTCGTGCCCCTGCGGCATGCTTCTCTAATTCACTCTTACCCGCATTCATTGTAGTATTGCAAGCTACACAACGAGCTTTACGTGGATTTGTAGGATCTCGATCCAACCAATCTCGAAAAATATCAATATCTAACCACTCATCACGAAATATTTTGTATTTTCCAGAACGCCGTTCTGTTGTTTCCTCTGATAAACATTTTGTTCGATAATTATTTAGAGGAACATTCACATGTACAGAGTCACAGAGTACAGAGTCACAATCTGAAGATGAAGGATTATAACTATCCACACCACTTGATCGAACTAAGAGATTATCATTTGATAAAATTAATTTTGGTTTTGTAGCACTTCGTTCATTGGAAAGTTCAGACCTGTGCTTTTTAAGAATAGGCTCTCCATCTGAAATGTTTTCATTGTCCAAGGGATTTCCAACAACCAAACCATTTTCACTAGCAGAAATGATAGTTAATTCTACGTCTTCACTACTAGTTTCTTCTCTCCTGTATACAATAATTAAAAGAACGTGTCAGATAGAATACAATAAATAATTTAATTGACAATATGAGTTGTTAACGTTAAATTACACAACTAACATGTCTTCTGCTACCTCCTGGAGTCCTGCAACCTTTTTGCAATGTACAATATGTCCCACAGCACCAGAATGCACATCCTCCACACTCACTAAAAAAACAACACAATTGCTGTAAGCAAGTATACACAAATTTGTGGGAAAAGAGTGTAATTACATAATTACTACAAAATAAGAAAATTATGGAATAAGACATTAAAATAAATACACATAGAGCGCATTTCTCTGCAAAGTACACGAAATAAAATACCTTTACAAAATGTCACTGATATTTGAAAATTATAATATCTAACATTTTCCAATAAAGAACGAAATTATTTCAATTTCAAAAGAGCGGGCAACCAATGCCACGGGTTAACAAAAAAATTAACCCATACAAGTGCGCATAAAATTTCATTCTCATGTGGAATTCAACATTACCTTTACTCGATTTCGATTTATTATTGGACGAAGACACAGCAAACACGTATCTGATTCCATTTTCACCAGCCTGAACATTCATATTTATGATCTCAATTTATCCTGCAAAACTATGTTTGTGTACGACAGAGGGACAAGTATATCCAAAATTCCTATCGTCCACACTGCGAGGGAAAATTAACGTCATGACATTGGCTGCGTTTATAAACACATGCTACTGTTGCTTGGTAGAGCTCGGTTAACTGTGGTCAATCCCTGGTGCTTTCTAGTAGTACATGGAATTTCGACCTTCGTGAAATAATGCACGCGGTGCTTGAAAGTCGGAGACGTTCCGTGAAGAACAATTAAAAAACCCTACATGTGAATTTGATGCTTATTTACGATCGAAACTAGAGATTAACAAAAAAATGTGCTTTTATCAATAGTAAACAGTACTGTACGTATGACCGTCTGGTTTGTAAATACTATATTCATAATTTAATTTCTTGTTAATTTGAAATGAGAAGAACCTACATATGCAAATGTGAACTTTTTTAGGAGTAAATGCATGCGTGAGAGTTCCTGGAAAACTTGTGACTTCACAGTCTGTCAACTCCTGTCAACGTCTGGTCAACATGGCAGATGGCGCCGAAGGTAAGCTTCTATGTCAAGCCACGGAAAGGCTGATATTGCTTCGGAATAACGTGTTGACAGAAAATGTGTACTCGAACTTGATAATCGAAGTGAAACGAGGTGTGTCGTGGTGCATTATTTGTATACGATTGAACTTAAAATATTGTGAACATTAGAAACATCAACGACCTTGGGTACCGGACAATGTTTCCGAGAGCCGAGATGAAGTAATAAAAGAAAAAAAAAAAAAAAGATTAGCTAGTAGCGTCGGCGGTGTTTCCGTTTTTTTTAAATCTTGCAACTGTCGTGTGGTTGCAAATGCTTCCTGGCAGCGTATTTCTTTCGAATTGTGTTCGTTTGTGGCGCACAGTTCTAGTAAAGTAAAGCGATAATCTCACAAAGATTTCCCAGCCGTGGGAAACAAAACTTGTTCTTTTATGTTTTGCGACGCTCATGGTCATGTACTTTCTCTTGTGCAGCTATTATATTTTATGAGTGTTTGTTGAAAGGGTACTCATAAAATTGATTTTTTTAGGAGGAAACTAATGAGAATGGGAATGCAACAGATGGTATGACAACAGAAGAAAAAATGGTGGATGTTTCTACAATACAAGAGGATATTTCTAGTGCAGGAAAACATTGTAATAGTATTGTTAATCATTCAGAAGTGCCAGTTACAGAAGTCTTTGATGAAGACCTTGATGTTACAAGTACTGTTGAGAATCATGCCGTTTGTAGGAAAGTTTCTAAGGATGTTGAGTTGGATGCCAGTAAGGATGAAAAAGAAGATTATGGTACTCACATAGAAAACCTCACTAATAAGGAAGAGAACAGTAATTTAAAAACTCTTGACGTAAATGAATGTGGTGAGGTTGAAAAGGGAGATCATGATATGATGGATGAATCTATGTGTACTAAGGAAAATTCTGTGACAATGAGCCTTTGTGTTTCGGTTGCTGATGGTGCAGTCTTGCCACCTGACCTGTGGCATGCAGCAGTTAAGAAAGAACCTGTGAATGTTTGGATTGTGCAAGTTTCAGATGGTGATTTCTCTCCTGATAGTAAAGTATCATCCCCTCTTCAGGTGATTAGCATGCAATGCAGATGCTTATTCAGATGTTGCCATAACTTTTGTTGAATCTGATACAAATGTTTTGTACTTTTAAGATTGTATTTCCTTGGGAGCACTCATGGTCATGGGATAGTCAGTTGGATCCTGTGTCTTCAGATGAAGATGAACCTCCAACATACACTACTCTTCAGACTGTAAATTGGGACGACACTACCTCTTGCCATAGTGGGCAGCTGAGAGATGCTTCTCATGAAGGAGCTGGTTCATCTGGTTTTTCAGACGATGAAGAAATGTCTTCTGTTACTGGAGAAAATTTTAATCTGGTGTGTGCATTGTACACATTCATCAATAATTCTTTTGTAGTCTTCATTTCTTTATATAATGCCATTTCAGTGGCAGAGTTTTATTTCTGATTAGGATATAGTGTATTTTGAATGCGTGTTTCAAGAATTCGATTTATTTTTGTATATTACATTTTGCACTTGTTCATACTGTGATTTTTATTTTTCAGCTTGGTTCTGACAGTGGCCTGCAAACCTCCAGTTCTGATGGAGATTTAAGAATGTTGCATCAGTCTGGTGGAGTTGGCATACCAGAAGACTCTTGGAGTGAAGATGCCAATACTTTTGCTCTCACAGAACTTCGTCTTGGATCAGATGCCGATTCTCGTTGTAGCATCGATACTGATCGACAGACTGAAGCACCTTCATCTCTACCAGCTAGTGGAGCTCGAGAGCATTTTTCTTGCCCTCTGTGTCAGAAAACTTTTACTGATCAACTGAACTTCAAATATCACAAACGCACACACAAGGATCGTAAGTTATTCACGTGTGATTTATGCAACCAAAAGTTTGCTCGTGAAAAAACTCTTGAGAGGCACCGACTTACGCATTCTGTCCCTGTGCAACCTCCAGTTCTGGAGTGCCCTGCTTGTAGTGAAACATTTGAGCAGAGAACTCAGCTGCGAATTCACATGCGTGCAGTTCATCGTGATGAACGTACAGAAGGAGTTGATGCATCTGGAACACGTAACTCAGGGCCTTTTACTTGTGAGATATGTCGGAAAACGTTTGCCCATGCAACTCGACTGAAACACCATCAGGCAGCTCATTATGAGCGGCAATATAATTGCCATATTTGCTCTGTTACTTTGGCAACCAAACATAGCTTACGACGTCATCTGTATATACATTCTGGAGAAAAACCGTTTGGGTGTGACATTTGTGGAAAAGCCTTTGCGTTTGAGTTATACCTGCGAAATCATATGAAAAAACATCTAGCCTTCAAATTCCATGACTGTGCTTTTTGTCCGCAGCAGTTCTGCTCTCGAAGGGAGCTTAAAGCTCACCTGCAAGTTCACAGGGGTCAGTACCACTGCCAGGTCTGCAAAGAGAATTTCCGTTCCAAACATAAGTTGCAGGAACATATGCAGAGTCATGAAACATAAATTTATGTTGTAATTCACTCAGCCTCAGGCCCTGTCTCTTTATCAGGTTGTGAATGTAATTCGAAGCACTTTTTATGAGCATGTCTTGTTCTCTCAGATGTTGCCGAATAATGGCCAAACTCCTTCCTTCTGGAGGAAATGTGTCCTCTCTCCTACCTGCTCTTGGTGCTCCCAGTAGCTGTGTAGTGATAAGTTTATCTCAGCCAGGATGTCTCAGACCTCAAGATAGTATGATACTTAGGATGGGTTTCTTATCCACCCTAATCACTAGGGCATAGCCTAGAGGCCTATTGAAGTATTGCATTTTTACGGACTTATTGTTTTTCCTTCTTAATTTTAAGTACCACTTATAATTTAAGTGTCTAACATTGAAACTACATAAAATTGTTTAATTTCACATCTAGTCTCATGTAAAAATGTACATATATTTTTGTGAGTACTTCATTTGTTTTAAAAAGTATTAAATCTCAACAATAATAAGATTGCCTCTCGAGCTGGAGCAGTGTTCTGGGGGCATTTAGCTGGTATGTGTAGTATGTACTAATTAAATCAGTACTATTTACCAAAAGTTGTGCAGCCTATCTGTTTTTCCTGCACAGGATCATACTGAATTAGAGGTTCAAATCTACCTGTAGGATAACAGTATTGTGTTCATGGTACAACTGCCTTGGTCTCGTAAGTGAATATACTCATATTTTCTCTGTTGGAGAAGCATACAAACCTATATACTTAGTACAAAATATCTCAACCGCTGGTATTGAGAAATTGCAGAATTGTTTTAGGAAACATATCCCGACTAACTTTAGTTTTTTGTGTTGTTTATACCTAACAATTAGATTATTTGCGGAGGGAATAGACCATGTCAGGAAGAGACTGAACTATTATATGCTTTCTAATTTTGAGGAATATATCTCTCACTTTCTAGTCTGTGAATTTTGCCAAAGAAACTATGTGCAATAATTTATTTTATATTTAATTTTACTAGTTATCTGTTAGTTTATTATTAATTTTTCTGAGAAGTATACGTGAATATTTTTCCAAATACAAAGTAATCTACATGTGTAAGCTAAATTTTTATTTTGTTTTGAGAATTCTGTTATAGTTAATAAAGTACTATTATTGTTATTGCTATCATTCATTATGTATTGATCATCCCTTGTATCCTCCCTTTGCAGTCAGGTCTCATACCCTTAAATTTTTTTGTAGCAGAATTTTAGTTTCTTTGTTATTGCCTTTTGATAAGCGTTCAGTGAAATCAGGAAAGATGGACATTGTAATTAAAAGAATGTCCATATGTTTACATAGCAAATTTAAACATTTGAGTAGTTTCGGTTTAAAACATGCTTAAATGAAATCAATTGACATGCAGATCACATGTTCTGGCAACTCTGGCAGTAATAGGACAAATTTTAACATGAATCTCAACATTTGACTGTTTTGAAGGATTTGAACAAATTGTGAAGTTTTAATCTCTTAAAAAATTTAGGGAGAAAAATATGGAAGTGTTAAGGAAATTCGGGGAAGAATCAAATGTGATTGTAAAAGATGTAGTGACAGAATTTTCGGAACAAATTGGGAGTGATATGCATTTTTGCATTTCGCATTTGTGCTAATGCAAATGTGTTGTGTGCATTTTTGTGCTAATTAGCAAAAAAGCGTAAAAACGTAGATGTTCTAAAATTTAATTATTAGCATAATCAAAACCTGCCAAGTATTTGTTATGGTGATTATAATTTTTAAATTGTAATAAGACCGGTACATATTTCATATGCAATTACATACAAGGCTATAACTTCATAATTGTAGTTGTAGGAAGATGCTGAAAAAAGTTTGAATTTTTTCAATTTTCGAAAAACTCAGGGTTTTTAACCAACATTAACCTTCACACCATTTTCTTAAAAGTTCTTCAGACTATTCACCAACAAAACTTCATCAAAAACGATTGGGCCGTTTTTGAGAAAAACATTGTTTAAACAAAATTAAAAATTGCCTAACGAAAAATCTCCCGAAAAATACTCAAATTTTCGAAAAATTGTTAAATCTATCTTTAAGACACATATTTCATTAATGAAAAAATCTTATCTTTAATATTTTAATTGTAGGAACACGCCGAAAAAAAAATTGAAATTTTTGCAATTGTCGAAAAAAATTAGAGCTTTCAACCAACATGAGACCTGCGCCATTTTCTTAAACGTCCTTCAGACTACCCAACTGCAAATTTAATCAAAATCAATGGCCCCCAAATACCCCCAAAATTAAAACATTAGTTTCAAATTCAAGGGGCTGCAACAACAGCCAGATCGATCGGAGAATATCAATTTTGGAGAAAATCAGCTGAACGGTTTATCCGCTAGCGTTGTTGAAATACGTTTTGCTGTCAATCGACTTTACGGTATCAAAGACACACAAAACAGGGATTTTGGCTACACCACATGTTAGAGAACTTTTTTTGTAAATTTAGCAACTGAATTTATCCACTTTTTCGTTACCAGTGAGAGTTTACCAATTAATGAGTTTTTCAGCCGAAAATTCGTCGTATTTTCGCTTAGCGTTATACTATAACTTTCTCTTTTTAAGAAGTTCCTTGTTAAGCGCAAGAAAGTAAAAATGGAGGCTAAAATATGAAAAGGCAAATTTTACTGTCTATAATAATAATAATAATGGAGGTGAGGAGCCTAAGAAGATCAATGTGAAAAATGCGACCGATAATCTTTATTTAAAGAATATCAGCTTCCAAAATCACGAGGTGGTAAGAGTGGGGTTCAAATTACGGAGGCTGGCCTTTCCTGATTCAATATACTGAAAAAAATCCAAGACTTTCACGTAACACGATCATTTGAAAAAAAAACAAACATCAAACTATTGTTTCAACAGAATGTTTGCAGACATTTTCCAATGATTTGATGTACTCACTCAAATGTATTTAGAGCCCGAAAAAAATGAATAATGTTGGATCAAAGCACAGTGTCGAGAAGTACGTTTTGAAACTCTTAAATCATGCGGTTAATACTTGCACAACTGATCTAGGCAACAGGGACTACAACATGAGTAGAGGTCTTTTTGCACATTTTCATCGCTTTAGGAGGCCTCTTTCATTTGTTATGATGTCTTGGACTGCGTTGGATCTATGCAAGATGAACGCTCGACTTATAACCAAACTTAATGTCTATGAGATGTCAGCAATATTAGTTTATGTGAGATGGTATGAAGTATTTGTATCTGTGAATAAATAAGATTGGTTCCGGTTTAATTATTTATATACTTTAGATTCTACGTATAATTATGTTTGTTAGACTTATATATTAACAGTGTTATTAATTCTCATTTATAGTCCTGATGATGGAATTAAATATTCCGGAACGTCTGCAAACTGGTCAGTTTTAGGGTTTTAATTTACACTCTGTCCGAATCGCATGAACATATAGTAAATCTTTTCTGATTTTGTTTGGTAAATTATTATTAAATGTTAATAAACTTGGTTTTGAGGAATGGTCCAAAATTTCTTAATTTGATTTGATTGATTTACTCCCTTTAGACTTTTACTACATAGTTTTCAATTTGAAATTCCTCGATCTCTATTTGAAAGTGATAGTCTCAACATGAATGTGATTAGTTTCAGTTCATGGTGTTCATTCCAAATGTGAAGTTATTTGATCTCAATTTGAAGTTGAAAAGCATTAGACGGTCTAGACCAGTGGCGTACGAGGGAGGCGAGGGCATGGTGGCAGTCCGCACTGGGTTCTTAAGGGATGACATGAATTGGAAATTATTATGATATTTTTAATCGTTAAAATTAAAGGCTTTTGTAATTTAAGTTATTGCGAGGTAATGGATAACTAAGTCAATTGAGGAACTTCATTAATAGAAATAAACATTCATTGTAAGTTATTGTTGTGGTACTATTAAATTTCACCCATCATCGACATTTTGTGAAAACCTCATTATTACAAGTAATACGAAATAGTTTTAACAAACATACGAATAAACATACTTTCGTATTTAATGAAATCTTTTAGAATGTATTATATAATGTGAAAGCTTTTGTTGAATTTGGGCGGCGACGCAATCAAATTTGTTCCATATGCCACCAACTTAAGATACTCCACTACTGTAACCTAATCTACGGTAGTCAGGGCAGCGGGAGCGGGGCTGGTGACTCCAGATATCATCCGCCTGGATGCCACTGGAATTTACTACGCAACTGATCTGCATCTAATGTAGGATAAATAGATAGATTTATATCAATATTATCGAATATAACTCGGTTGTCCAGCATAATCCGAGAACGGAAATTTTATCCAATTTTTCACGAATATCGTACTTAAACGGACGATAAATAAACAGGGGGTTTCGCGAATCAAAGTGTTTCTTCACAAAAAATGTTTTAATACCACCCCGCAATGCATTTGTGTGTTTAAGGGCTGCGAAGCAGCAGAGAAGACAGGGACACTGACAGCGGGGGAGTACGGCGGGACGGGAAGGGAACGAGGAGAAAGCAGTGGCAAGGCGGAGTGTGCGGGGTCGGCGGATGGGGTGAAGTGGAACGGAGTGGGACTGACCGGGGGGGGGGAGGGGAATGGTCGGAGATGTAGCTGAAAAATAAATAAAATCACTTCCAGTTTGCACTATAGATATAATTATTTCTGTTTTGGGTCTTATAAATTGTGGTAAATACCCGGACAGCAATGAGTTACTTTCAATAGTGTACCGGTATAAAACATCCCAAAAGCTATTACGTTAGAGTGGCAAAATGTGCCAAAAACGTGCAGAGATGAAAGTAAGGTTGCGGTGCAGAGCAGCTCATAAATCTCCATCGACAAAACGAGCTGCTGCGCCGATTAGTCTGGGCCACGCCCGTGCCCGCTCTTGGGATAGCCTGCTGACGCTCATATTGGCTAATGTTCTGCGGCAGAAAGGCGCTGGTACCCATTTGAGAGACTCATGCGGAATACTCACGGGAACCGCGTAAGAATGTGTGCATCATAATGCGACGAATACACGATAATTTATAAACTATGTCATCAGGGGAGGATCCAGACTTTTTCAAGGAAAGAGCTTCTTTCGGATCAGACCCCCTCGTAAATATTAAATAGTATTTATTTTAAATGATAGATTGACATACAAAATTCAATGTGAAGTGATCAATATACAGTATTTTATTTTAATAAATTGGGTACAATTGCAGAAAAAAATAAGAGGAAAAATGTTGATTTGGCATGGGGCTATGGCCCTCCCTTGGACCCGCCTCTAGACGTTTCAAGAATGGACGAGATCGAAATTGAAGCCGCGCTTAAATTAATTACCGGTTATATTTTATGAGAGGTTTGTCACGCACGTGGAAGGCAATTTTGCCAGAACAAATCATTCAATTATTTTCGTTTATCACATGCATGCATTATTTCTATAGTAGCGGAGAATGAGGCAATGAGAGCCTACGGGCAATAGGAGCCAATCCCGAATAATTTGACTTTTGCCTGACACGCCTTAAACCTGTGAGTTGAGTTGAAGGTTCTCTAGAGTGCCCTTTTCGTCCACAAGACGAGCGGTGTCGCAGTCGCACTCCGTTTGCCTAACAGACGACACAGTGTGTTCAGCAGTCCCCCTGTAAGTTTTGCTGCTGTTGTCTTAAGCGTGAGTTTGATATTATCCTTAAACAGGAATCTTAATAAATTGAATTTATTGCATTATTCGTGTAGTTAAACGAGATGAAGATAACACAAGTGCAAACTTATTTTATATTAAATTTCGTTATTTAAATAAATATATTACCACTCGTGGTAATGACAGCTATTAGAAAGAAGAAATTTGTACTTAGCTCTGATAACCCCATGCTTGTTTTCAATGCACATTCGTTATTTTAACTTATTTTAACACGGTTAATAAACTCATTACAATGCGATTTATTTTGTTTCCACTATAAGCCTCTAATAAGACCATGAGTCACAGATAAGGTAAAGTGGACTGAACATGAACTGGACAGAGCTATGAAGTGCATCTTGTAAGACTCAATTGTTTATAGGGCATAGGGCTGCAAAATCTTCTGGAATTCCTAATTTTACTTTGAAGAAGCAGTACAACACTGAAAGTGAAGATGGAAATAGTGCTCTGGAACGTCCATGTCTAAGCAAGCCAAT